ACCAACTGTGGGCATTAATTTACTTCTGCGTGAGTTTATGATTTATTTTGCAAATACTTTTAACTAGAAGATATTTATTCTGTCTCTGTTTAGCTTAGTCTTGATTAGGCTAACAAAAATATGCATCCTGTAGAGCTGAAAACGGCGCCCTTTGTCCTATGTTAGCATGAAAAACAATAATATCCTGTTATTAATTAAATTTAGCATGAAAAACAATAATATCCTGTTAATTATTGATTAAATGAACAGAGCTTTTTATATGAAAACTCTTAATTAAAAACATAATCACACAGCAGTGGTACTGGTTAGTGAGCAAACACATGGCCTCTTTTTACCACAAGAGGGAGGTGTATGTTAAGGTTCTCTCTGTTTCCAAACTTTTACATCACATCTGTGAGGCTTAAACCTGACCTGACCAAAACATAAACTGTAGAACCAACTGATGTGGCCTTTCATTTACAACAGGAAGTTTCACTGCCCCACCGGGGACTTGCACCATAAACATTCAGGTCCTGGCTGTCCATGTTAATGTGTTTATGAAATTCATATCGATTTCTAAATATAACTACAGAGAGCTTTCAGGGAGTGCAATATCCTACCACAGATGGTCGATTTCTCTACAGTGTCGCTACACTGGATCACCACCAGGATGTAATTTTCAGTTTCTTACACCAATATCACCAAAACATTTAATCATTACTTTGAGTTATGCTGCCCGCAGACAAACATTTAGGCGGGTACGAATCCACAGTCTCTACAGCAGTGGCAATAAAATATCGACAGCGGAGTCATTTGAGATTCAACAGTCAGCACGATGTTGGGGAGATTTGTTTGAATGTCTCTGTGAGAAGTATTATTGTCAAAGCGGGCAATCAAAAAGACATAAGCATCTGTGAGGTAATTGCTGCTGTTCACATTGTTCAGGCAGGGGGGGGGGGGAAATGGGGGGGGGTTTCTTCAAGTCCGCAGCCCTGTCATCTCGTCTGTCGGGGGACTATCACATCTGCGCACGTGAGAAGGTGTCGCTCGTGCCCTTTAGCACTTCTCTCTTTGCTATTGACCCGTTCTTTAATTAAAGCATTAGGATAGGCAGGGTGAGCTCAGCCTGAAGGCTGCTGGAAGTGTGCGCTCCCCCTGCCCCCATTCTCCCCCCCTCATGGGAGACATCCTCCACCTCTGCTGCCTGATTTACAGCACCCACAGGCCTGTGGCACTTAACAATGGACCTCTTTAAGTGAGGTAGATGGGGAGGAGATCAGAGAGAGGGGGTGGAGGGGTGACACTCCATCTTCATACACAAAGTGCTGAAAATCTAGCCACCAGGTTATTTCTGAGACACATACATACATGGATGCACTGATCGTGGTAACGGTCGCGAGGCAGAAGAGTCGAAATGCCATCTTTGCTCTGTGTAGTTTACTCTGCCCGGGCGGGGAACGTGCAGTAAGACTGATATCCTTGTGGCTACAACCACACCGCCACCGTCAGACGGAACATGTTCCTCCAAACAGAAGTTTCCCTAACAAACAGTAAATCTGCTCTGACTGTGTGTGTACACTGTGTCTCTGTCAACACACGGGTGGTTCACAAAACAAGCGCTCCTCAGCAGAAGAGGTTCCGTCTCCTACAAATGTTTAGACGTCCACTGATCAAATACTTCACTGCCGCTCCTGTGAATGATTGAAACCCTCCCAACAATAGCTGCTGCTATCTCCTTCTCCCTGAGGTGTGGGAGAGCCTTTTCATCTCAGGCTTTGATTAATAAAGGAATCGCAGGTTGGATGGGAGCAGCCATGGTGGCCCCTCTCCACCCCCCCACCCTCCTCTCCGTGAACATCCATCATGCCTATGACAGCCCACCTCTCTGTGTTAATTAGCAGTGATATTTAAGCTGTCTGAGGTGTTCCATGACCATCAGCGCGCTGGTGCTGATAATCATTAAAATTTCAATTCATCTGCCCGGGGACTTTCTCATTTTGTCAAGTTCTAGAACATTCACTTGGAGACGGTGTTAGATCGAAACACAACATCTGCCGTCTGCTCGACATAAAAAACAGAAATGTGACACGTGGGCTACAGACGGAATATGAAACAAAATGATTTAGGTGTAAACATCCAGGCTAATGGAGCTCCCCCTACTGACTAACGTGCGTTTTAATGCTCACCCAACTGTGGCGCTGTAATTGTAAAAACATCACTTTGACTTATCACATCTGCTCAATTATTACACTAAAGGAAAGATTTTGACACAGATTTAAATTTATCGTCAAACCACAACCACAGGAGGCGTAAACCTGTTACTTATTAACGATGTGCAACTATGGTAATTCTCTTTAATACTGCTGTTATTTACAGATCAATTATGCATGGAACTCACTCCGGGTCCATCTCTGGACCTTGAGCGTTGTTGGTAAGAGCTGCGAAAATGACAGCAGGTAAAATGTAGTCATGCACAGCCATTTTACATGAGCTGCGTTTGGACAAAATGGCCTCCTGAACGTACATAAAGTCACAATCACGCAGCATTCGGCACAAGATTTTTTTTTTTTCCTGCAACTAAAGCCTAATAAACCTGGAGGTTGGAGAGGAAGTGTCAGCCAAACATCTGCCTCACACGGTGTCTCAGATGGGAGATGTTCTGTCACGTCATGTTCCAACCTGTACTGTACTCAGATGCCTGTCACTTTTTTCTAATTAGTGTAACTCATCAAGATTAATGAGCGTCTGTTTGTCATTCCCAAACCTCAGAATCTCCAGCACTGACTGGCGACTAGGGGAAAGAACGTTTTTTGGCCTACTTTTGTCTTTTGATTTATTAAAATCACGAATATCCATCCATCACAATGATCTCACAGGGAAGGTTCCATTTCTTTGTAACATAGTCTGTGTGGGATTAAGCACATTTTGAAATTATATTCAGGATTATCATCTTGGGTGAACTAGTTTCTTTTTTTCTTTTTTAAATCAAAGAAATTATCCAAGTCTAATATTATTATTTCATGTTAACGATACTAATGGTTATTGAAGTCCTAGTTGTTTTTGTTATTAATAATAGTGGGGACCACAGGATATTTTCTCTTTGATCCTCACAATTTTGGAATCCAGTCACAAGCTGGATTGGACAGTTTTACGGGCCAGATTCAGCCCTCGGGCCGCCAGTTGATTATCACTGATATAGTGCAATTAAAACTACAGAAGATAAGCCACTAGGAGCCTAGTGGCAAGATAATTCTACCAAAATATGTTATACATTACTTAGAACTCTTCTTCAATAATACATGATGTCAGTTTAATCCCATTTAGTGGAAAACAAAAGTTAAAAGACGTAGGACTGCATATTCCTGGACACTGACAGGAACAACAGGACATTTAGTGATGTTATGGCCTGCAGCCGGGCTCGTAACAGACAGTAGTATTAAAATGACATCATTTAATAAAGACCTCACACGGTCATACGTTCTGAAACCAGCAGAAATGTCTGCTCTTTAGTTCATAGTTTACAACCAGATATTCATGACCATTTGTCCCGAAGGTCGACTCCATATTTCAAAATGAGACTTTGCTTCGTAATTAGACGCACATACTTTTCTTACGCACAATCCATGGCAATGACACACCAGTGTGTGGAGCTAGAGGGGGCAGGGAAAATATGCAACTTTATCCAGTCAAGTAAATTTATAGCCTTCAACCTTAACTCAGGCCAGGACTTAATTTATTCATGTTCCCGTGCCTGTGTGTGTGTGTGTGTTTAAGGGGACGGGGGAGTGCACGTGTGGTTGCATGAATGAGGCTTCAGTCTGCCATCAACACCTTTGCTCGGGGTCCCCCTGCAAGCACGCATTTACAAAGATCAGGTTTAGTTGCGCAAGATCCTTTTGCTAAGATTTATTGGGGCGGAGAGAGAGAGTCGTCCACGTTGCCCTGGACTGGACGGACACCACGGCAGCCTGCCAAATGTATAAAAATCACTCTCTTTCAGAGGTGTGTTTAGCCTGGACAGATACATTAACATGCGTTGGCCTAATGCCGCGCTATTTATCTACAGCTTGTTGGAGCAAATGTGGACCGGGCTCCTTCGCCAAA